GGCATGACCTCGGCTATGTTAGAAAAATTATGAAAACAAAAGTTTAGCCGTATTTGTTACTATTTTTCAGATACTTCGTTGTAAAGACGTGACGCAATTAACTGCAAAGGCATTTGATGATCAGTTAGCTCTACTTGCACACATTACCCTAGATGGTACTGACAATTTACTAGCAAATAAGACAAATGAGAAGGATCAGTATCATTTAACTCGTTACCGTTTTTCGATCAAAGCAACGGAAGCCGTTTGTCTGAAAGTTGGTGTAGACCGTTGACGGCGACGCAGTTGAACAACGTCAGTGAACTAATCCAGTACCAGTAGATATCAGATAATACACAAAAATCACACTTCGTTATTCATATTTTCTCCTCATTATCTGATAACAGCCCCTTGCATTCGTTGAGTGAATGGGGAGGATGAGAATGCAGAATGCGAGCCACAGTTTAAAACAGACGCCGCGTGACGATTGACGGAGCATCGCTGTCCAGGTACATGCAGAAGACTTCGAAAAAAGGTTTTACACCTTCCACATATTAGGAGGAAGACCAAACGATCTTGGAAGACCACTGTAAACGTTCACTATCACAGACAATATAGTACGTTCTGAGCTTTTACCTAAACCATTACATGAGAAAAAAACGAATTCAAATAACGTCGTGAGGAAGTCTTGCCTCATTCCATTCAGTGAAGTTAGCGCTATTTTATTGGTTGGGAGTACACACAAATAGAGCTCACCAAAATGACTGTCACGTCCTCAAAAAGATAGCTACCGTTATTGTAGATGGTAGTAGCGGCCGACTTTCTGGTTTTACCGAAGCTAATAATGTAAGTTACGTTAATAAGGGGATTCATAGCCAGGAAATGACTGTCGCTTGAAATGACAAAGCTGAACTGCATTGTGTAAACGGGGAATAGGTTCTACTCAGGAGAGCTATCGCCGAGACTTCGGCTATGTGCCTAGATTGTTGAAGAGTGGATATTGCATACCTCTTTTAAAAGCAGCAAATCGAAGTTCCTGTTACGGTTAGTGGATGCAGTTTTTGGGTCCTAGATTGAGATCGAAAAACAGCAAAACCGGACAGCTCACCAGTTCAGACGGCGCTTTCAGATCGACGTCGATTTTTCCAGAGGATATGCTATTTAGTTTCGCTATCAAACCCAATATCTTGTCAGCCGCGACGCACCAAAGGTACGATTAGACTGGATCAAGAGATGAGAGGTCATGCATGCTTAATACAGAATGTTAGCAATATACTTCTTTCATCAGAATTTTATGCT